AAAGAAAAAAAAAAGAGGGGGGCATAAGGTAGGTAGAAAGGAAAGTAAAATCAAGAGAAGGGATGTTTTTCTTAAAATATGGTGGTCAAGGCAGGCCTCACTGAAGTAGAAGCATGGTGTTTGACTTTTTTCTGCCTCACCACCAGAATGTATCCTTCAAGGGGGCTGAGATCTGCGGTTGTCTTGTTTATTGCTGCATCCCCCATACCCAGAACAGGGTCTGGCACGTAGACTCAATAACTCTCTTAAATAGATGAGCAAATCGGGCTTGATAAACAAGAAACATATATCATGCCAACATGCCAAATAGTGCCCAAGGGATACGATGAAGAAGGAAAGAGAGAAACAATGTTGGGGTGGTAGTTGACATTTTACATAGGGCTATCACTAAGGCTTCAATGACAGGGAGACTTTGGAGCAATGACAGGTATATATAGTGGTAGAGGCCTAAACCAAAGCATGAGGCCAGAAAAAAAAAGAAAAAAAAAAACTCATTCACAGATGATATAATTGTGCATGCAGAAAACACACAACAATCTGAATTATCCAAATAGAGAATTTAACACTGCTAGAGATAGAGTCACTCCATATGATTAAAATTTTAACCCTCCAAGAAGATACAACAATTTAAAGTTTGTCCTTAATGGCTTCAGATTCTATAAAGTAAAAATTGACACAATTAAAAGAAAATAGACAAATCCACAATCATAATGGAAGATTTTAACACTTCTCTCAGTGATCGATGGAACACACAGACACAAAATCATCATAAGGATACAGAAGATAGGAACAATACAGTAGCAGATTTGGCCTAATAAATAAAACAAACTGCAGCATCCAATTTTTTTTCTCTTTGTGCCAATACAGAATATTTATGAAAACCGGCCACACACTGTACCAAGTCTCAACCACCTGGGTGATGGCTACAAGAGCACTTGTCTTGTAATTATCATTTATACGTGTATTTATTTTCCATAGTATGCTCTATGCCATATATGCTGTATTATAACACAAAAAGTACGGCATAGGCCAGGCACGGTGACTCACACCTGTAATCCTAGCACTTTGGGAGACTGAGGCAGATGGATCACCTGAGGTCAGAAGTTTGAGATGAGCCTGGCCAACATGGTGAAACCCTGTCTCTTCTGAAAAATACAAAAAAATAGCCAGTCGTGATGGCATGTGCTTGTAATGCCAGCTACTCAGGAGGCTGAGGCCAGAAAATTGCTTGAACCCAGGAGGCGGAGGTTGCAGTGAACTGAGATCACACCAGTGCACTCCAGCCTAGGTGACAGAGCGAGACTCCGTCCCCCCCCAAAAAAAAGTACAGCATAAATGAAACAAAATGTGACAGACAATGATAACACATCATTCTAGGTAGGCCATATATTGGGAAATGGAAACAAAGTCAGAAGGGAAGTTTTAGGAGCACTTAATTCCCTGTAATACAGTAGGGAATCGATTTTGCAAAACCATTCCCAAGCAGTTGAGCTATTTTCAGACAATATAGCACCTTGGCAAGCAGGGAAAAGATTTTGGGCTCCTCAAGTTCATGAGAAGAAATTGTTGTATCTATGACAAATTATCTTTAAGACCTTTTCCTGTTGACTCTGAATGTATTTTAGAAGAGAAATTTTAACAGTGGGAAAGAGCAGGCAGAGGTGGACCTTAAACAAGGGACATTGGGGATATGGAAACTGGAGGGGAGCCAGAGGGGAGAAGATCTAGAAATGTTAATGAGTGGCAGGGCAGTGTTGGTAGGGACCTTCCTCTTCTGGAGAAAGGTGTTCCACATCAGCCACCATGGAAGCTTCTAGAAGCCAAACATTCAAGAGACTCCTCTGCCAAGCTCGGTTTTTCAGGGAGTCTCATGCATCTGTATTTTAAAGCTCCATATGGATGATCCTGATGTGCAGCCAGGGTTAAAAAGCCTGTGTGCTCCTGAGACATTAACCTGCCTGCAAATCCCTTGGGGGTGCTTTTTAAAACTAGGTTCTGATTCTAGAGGTCTGGGAGGGGCCTGAGAGTCTGCATTTCCCACAAGTGCCCTGGCAATGCCAACGCTGCCCATCCCTAGGCCACATTTGGAGTATTGAGGGGGGAAAGAAATCAAATATAATTTAAACCACCAAGCTTGTGAAACAAAGCATGTGTGTTTTCTGGCAGAGTGAGATTCACAGGGCTTCTCCTGTTATGAAATGAAAAGAGCAAGTACAAAACAGCGCAGCAGGACACAGTGAAATTCCTTAGGGGGTCACTAATTGAGACAGCATGGCCCCAGGTGTACCCTGACCCTTGAAAATATTTTCACAGTGCTCCATCTGTTTTTCTCCACCAGATTATGCCTTCTAGTTGGTCTTGATTGCTTGTTCCCAGCAAAAATATTTGAGGCGAAGGAATAAATTCAGCCAAGGCCAACAAAAAGGAAGGAAGGATTCCTCACTGCTCTCTGAGCCCCTTGTTTTCATAGCACGTGGCTGAATCTTCCTTAATGCGGGGGATCAGCTGAGCGGTCGTGGTGAGAAGCCACAATGTTTTCTGAACAAGCTCATTTCTGCATCTGTTCCCTCTGACCTGAAAAATGCCTCTTTGTTCCATTCCTCTTGTTCCTTTAGAAAGGACTCCCACTTTGTGTTGTTTACTCAAATTAGTTACTTCAGACAACATAGGCATCAATTCACAGAAAATCCACCTGGGTTACTCAGTTGACACAGTTGTCCTTTGGATGTAGGCATATAGGCAAAAGGACATGGAATATTAAAATCATTTTGTAACCTTACTCAGAGGCTCGGGAAGCCCTGAGTTTTTACCAGTATATACTGGTGAAGTACAAGTTCAAACATTTATGTTAGTATTTCCCTACATTATTTTAAGTTAGGCTTTCTTTGCTTTCAAGTCTTAGATGTCTTTTCATTTTCTTTTATTTTTAAGGCTGCCATTCAAGTCATCTGTGTCCCATTAGTTGTTATCATAGCTCACAGAAGTGTGGCCAGAAACAGAGCCACAGCAACACGGAGCTGTAGCCTGCAGCTGCCAACCCAGTGCCAGTTCTGTGCAGCCACCTGGCCTTCAGCTCTGGCCAGCAGTTCCTCTGATCCTAGAAGCTCTCTGCCTCTTGTTATATTTGCTAAATATTCTAAATTGCTTGGAATAGCTCAGTGTAGAAGGTCAGCACTATGCCCCATTTGGTGAATGTAAACTCAGGAAGGTTGTACACTTTTTATTTTATTATTTATTTGTTTGTTTATTTGATGGGATCTTACTGTGTCACCCAGGCTGGAGTGCAGTGGCACATTGATAGCTCATTACAGCCTCCAACTCCTGGGCTCAAGTGACCCTCCCACCTCCCAAGTAGCTAGGACTACAGGTGTGTACCACCATGCCTAGCTAATTTTTTTAAAATTATTTTCTGCAAAGAGAGGGTCTCACTATGTTGCCCAGGCTGGTCTCAAATTCCTGGCCTCAAGCGATCTTCCCACCTCGGCCTCCCAAAGTGCTGGGATGATTGGCGTGAGTCACTGCACCTAGCCTATACACTTTTTAAATTCAAAATTCCGTTAATAATAAATACAGTTAATTGCCTAAGTGCCTATAGGATGTTATAATGTGTGTGTGCGTGCGCGCGCGCGTGTGCGTGTGCCGTATAAAGACTACATTAACACATTCTTTGCAAGTTACAGGGGGAAAAGGCCATATTAAATGACCCCACAATGAAATAATCAGACAAATCCTCAATGTAAGACATTATACAATTCAAACAATTAGCCTGGTCTCTTTAGAAAGTCAATGTCTTGAAAATAAAAAGGTGGGAAAACTGTCCTAAAAGCAACTGTATTCATGACAACCAAATGCAGTGTATGAATTCTTTCTATCCTGGAAAGCTATAAAAGAAACCTGGGGACAACTTGAAATGTTTGCTTTGCATACTTTCACAAAGTCTAAAGTTGTTCACCACCTTAGAACATTTCTGCTCTTACCACTCTTCTGTCATGTGCTATTTTACCTGTCCAAGATTTAAGTTCTACCTTTTAATTTTTTTCAAAATGCCACCAATTAAATACTCCTCTGCAGCGAGACCTTTAATATGGGTTAAGGGCCTCACCCTGATGTTCTGGAGCATGATCATGAGACATCTTGATGGGCATTACATTTTTTTATCCTACGTGGAATTCACTGGGCTTCATGAATCTGTGGTGGGAAATGTTGAGCTGTTGTACTTTGTTTCTCTGTCCCAGTCTCTCTTCTCCTTCTAGAATTCTAGGTAAGCATATAGTAGACTTTATTGTCCTACATAGCTTATTTATATATCTTAAATTTTTTCTTGTTTTTTGCGTCTTAACTCTGCAATGTGCCACATAATTTTTTTCTGACATATCTTTGAGTTCATCAAATCTCTCCTTAACTGTGTCTCATCTACTTTTAAATCCATCCACTTAATTTTTAATTTCTATTATTGCTATTTCTAGAAGTTCCATTTTAGTTTTTATCCTAATAATCTGTATCATCAATTTTCACTCCCTGTTCTTTTTATTTTCTGCTTTATCTATCAAAAATGGAGAAATGAGTACAGATATCTCTGTCATGATGGTAGATATGTCAGTTTATCCATGTAATCCACGAATAAATCAATTTGTTGTTCTTGTTTTTTGAAGCTGTTTTATGAACTGTAATTTTTTTTAATGTTATAACTTTCTGGTGATAGATGTCCTTTCTATCACTAATGATTTTTTTTTTTTTTTTGCTTTCTTTTGGATAGCGTTTTCCTATTTTCATCATTTTACTGTAAATGTTGCTGTGAGCATATGTTTGGTATATCTCTTGTCAATAGCATGTAACTGTATGTGTGAATTTTTTATTCCAGTCATTATAGTCTCTGTCTTTCATATGGTCCATTGAATCCATTTACATTTATTGTAATTACTGATACATTTGAACTGATATTTCTCCTGTCTTACTTTGTGGTTTATATTTGTCTTGAATTTTTAATAACTCTTTTCTCCTTTTTTTTTTTTTTTTTTTGCTTTCATCAGACTATGCAGGAATATATTGCAGTTAGAATTCTCTAATTCATACATATAAATGAATTGAAACACTTTTGGAATCATCTATCAAAGTTTAAAATACATACACACTATGTTTCAGTCTTTTTACACATGTGTACCAGAACACATGTACCAGAATGTTCCAAGCAGCATTTTTCATAATATCCAAAAGCTAAATAATCCAAATAGCTATCAACAGTAAAATGGTTAAAGAATTTGTAGTTACATAAGAAATATAATAGACTGGCCAAGTAAAAACTATAGCTGCAATATCAACTTAGATGAAACAACAACAAAGAAAACATAATGTAAGGCAAAAGAAGTCAGACATCAAAGAATAGCCACTCTATTTTTTCACAATATGAAGTTCAAACACGGACAAAATTAAAGTATAGAGTTTAGGGATTCATGCTTAAGTGGTAAGACCACACAAAAAAGCAAAGAAAGGACTGTTGGCATAGTGGATACTTTTTCAGGGAGAAAGTTGGGATCTGAAAGACACAAGGAGATGATAATCTGTTGAGGTATAGATTTTTTTATGTGTAATTTTCTCTACATGTATTTCATTATGAAAAGTAAAAAAGAAAAAAATTGAATATAGTTAATATCTTTTTGAGTACTCATTAACATCATTTTCCAAATTTCTCTATTCTCTAACAATATTAATTTCCTTAAGTTAAGTCACCTAGTCTTTATTTAGAAATTACCATATACCTATATCAGCCCGGGTGTGTGAAGATACAGAGGAAGTTGAAGGCACACATAGTCCTGGCATGGGAAGGGGTTTAGCCAGGAAGAAGGGTCTTCCCTTAACCCCTCCATTATAACAGAAGGAAAAAAGGATGGGTCATGTTTCTGGGTATATTTGACAGAGTGGATTTGTTATAATCTAGGTCTGAGTGCCACACTACTACCTTGTAAGAGGTAAAGGAATGAAGGGTGTGATGAGGAACCGAGGTAAGGAATGCGGACCACACAGTTGTCTAAAGGTTGATGGTAAGCAGATCTAGAAGGTTTTAAAGATGCTTCTAGTGGAACCTGAGAATGTCTTTGTGCAAACAGCAAGAGAGAGAGAGAAAGAAGGGAAAGGAAAGGAAAAGAAAAGCCATCAGCAATGCCAGGGAGAGAGGGATGACTGATGGGAGAGATGCCGAAGGCCCAGGAGGGAGTGAGAGCCCACACTCAAGCTGACTGGACAGGAGGGAGAATCTCAGGTGGAGGCCCAGCCTGGGGGTGGTTCCCTTAGCCATCTGGGAGATTCCCAAGACCTTTATTACATCATCAGCGGGATGAGGAGTATGGAAAGAAAAGTTTGAAGCATATGGAGAAGATCTGGGAACCCTGCCCCAGGACCACAAGAAAGAACCACAGCCAGACATGGATCACAAAGAAGTGAGCAACAGGAAGGCCCCGCCGCAGCCTCACAGTCTATGCTTGCAGAAGATACAGTCATAGCTTTGTGAGACTTTCCAGAAGTCCCTAGCAGCAGTGTGGGGAGCCCAGAAATCCTCAAGTTTGGGTGGCACAGGGCTGAGAAACAGCAAAAGGAACAGAGGGCAAAGGTGAGTAAGAGGGAGATACGTGGACTTGACCAACCGCGAAGGCCAGGCCAGGGAGGGAGGCACTGGGAAAACGGAGGGCCAGAGATAGGGGACCAGTGGGGCAGAGAGCACATTCCGGGGCCCAGGAGACTGACAGGTAGCAGGAGAGATAGGGACTGGAGTTTAAAAGACAGTATTACAGTTTCCCATCTTGCAGCTGAAGTAGCTTGTAGGGATGGAGCCACTTTCAGCACAGCTGGCCTCCTCCCGGGAGATGATCCCCTGGTCAGCATTGTGAGAGGCAGAGGAGAGAAGAGAAGGAAGTTCCCATCTTTCCTTCTCTGAGAACAAAGGGACAGTGTGAGGGACATTACTTTATCCCAAGCAGCTGCCCACAGTCCAGGCCCAGAAGGCAAGAGACTGTGGCAAACATTATCACCAAATTCTTTTCCCAGCTTCCCTAAGTCAGGACTGTCCAATGGAACTTTCTGCAGTGATGGAAATGTTCTATATAAGTGCTGTCCTGACAGTAGCCACTAACCACATGTGGCTGTTGTGCTCTTGAAATGTGACTGAGGAACTGAATTTTTACTTGTACTTCATTTTAATTAAAGTTAAGTAAAGATATGTGGCTAGCGGCTTCCATATCGGACCGCAGACTCCAGGGCGTCTCTAAAACAAACGTATGGGCTCAGCAGCAGGTTTCTGATCGTTTTGGACCTTAACTTTTTTGTCAAATGGAATTCCACACAGAAACACAATACAGAATATCAAGATATGGTGGTGGGGCTCCTCTGGTTGGATTCCCACCACCCCATCCAAGCCCTGGGCACAATCCTACAGGCACATTCATGAAATTCTAGGGCTCTGTGGCACGGTTTGTGGGCAAGGTCTGCGTTGCCCAATATGGGACATCTGCCACTGGGAGTACCTAACGTGTTTTGAGGCAGCACCAGACATAGACATTTAAACTTTTTAATTTTTCGTCAATTTATCTTAAATGAATACGTATGTGGTAGTGATGTAAAATTTCATTTTTAAATGTATTTAAGTGAAAAGTGAATTAATTTAAAGAAAAATGATAAAAGTCCACATGGTTCACAAGCATGATAAATACGGCTATTGGCAAAAATGGCAAACATGGTTGGAGAACGGGAGTATTGATGGGTCTGATTTGGAATGAGGGCCTTGGACCAGCAGCACCACCATCCCTTGGGGGCTTGTGGGAAATGCAGAATCGCAGGTGCCGTCCCAGACCTACTGAGCCAGGATCTGCATTGGACCAAGACCCCCAGGAGATTCACTGATGTTTAAGGAGCACTGCTCCAAGGAGTTGGGCAGCTCTGAGACAGCGGGGCTCTGAGGCCAGAAGCTCCACTTGCAGCCAAGAGAGTTCCAGGGCTCAGGGAAAAGTTGGGACATTCCCACCTCTTTGGCACCACATACACATACATACACGCACACATGTGTGCACGTGCACCCACAGGTTCTCCTTCACCACCTGAGCTAGGCAAGTCAACACAGCAGCCCCAGCATTTCCTTTGCAGAATCTCCTGGTGGCTTCTACATTCCTATTTGTACTGTCTGTGTCTTTGTGCTCCCTGAGGGATAGTGAGCAAGTGCTTTGGGAAGCAGGGAGAACAGTCATATCAAGAACTTGAATGCGCTGAAGAAATGTTCTGAAATGCAGACATCTGACTGTTGCCGAAGCTATGAACAGCAGAAATAAACTTGTACTAAAGTGCTCAGAATCTGCAGCAGGTTTTTCCTTTACCAGCTGACTTTTATTGAGATTCAATCATGTACCTGGCGCTGGGGAGAAAAGGATGAGTAAGGCATGATGCGAGCCACAGTCCAGAGGGGACACATACGATGCACTCTTCATGACAGCACAGCGCTGGCAGGCATTACAAGTCAGCTGTGGGCCGGGCGCGGTGGCTCGCACCTGTAATCCCAACACTTTGGGAGGCTGAGGCAGGTGGATCATGAGGTCAGGAGTTTGAGACCAGCCTGGCCAACACAGTGAAACCCCATCTCTACTAAAAATACAAAAATTAGCTGGGTGTGGTGGTGCACACCTGTAATCCCAGCTACTCAGGAGGCTGAGGCAGAGAATTGCTTGAAACCAGAAGATGGAGGTTGCAGTGAGCTGAGATCCTGTCATTGCACTCCAGCCTGGGCAACAAGAGCAAAACTCCATCTCAAAAAAAAAAAAAAAAAAGTCACGTATGTACCCAGGGCCTGTGGGCAGGGAAGAGCAAGCAATATATTCCAGTTGCAGATGGGGTTCTCGGGCTTCTTAAAAAGGGTAAAAGGCCAAGCATAGTGGCTCATGCCTGTAATCGCAGCATTTTAAGAGGCTGAGGCTGGAGCACTGCTTGAGCCCAGGAGTTCAAGACCAGCATGGACAACATAGTGAGACTTCATCTCTAAAAAATTAATGTGTTAAAATTTAAGTTTTAAAAAGAGGTAATAAATCATCTGGGTCAAGAGAAAGGACAGGATTTTTCTGGGTTGAGAAAGCAGAGGTGCTTTTGGCTGAGAGACGTCCCAGAAGTATAAAAATGCACAGCATTTTCCGGAAAGTGAAAAGTTTAGCTTCTCTGGGAGCCTAGGTATGCAAGGGTTAAATTCCTCAGGGCCCAATTTTAAAAATCCTCAGAACCTTACAAACCAGGCTAAGGAGTTTGGACTTTATCTTGTGGTGACTGGGAGCCACTGATGGTGGTTAAGTAACAATGGAATCACTAGGATGAGCAAATTATTGAAAGCTGCATGACCTTCATAGTCGGCAGGGTAATCAGGAACCCTGGCGTGGGCCCAGTAGCCCACATCCATGCAGCTGAGTCAGGGCCCTCCCCAGTGTCTCCACCTCTTCCAGAAATCAGATAACTAAGGCATGCTAGCCTTCGATCCTGCAGGTAAGTCTGTCCTGATTGACATGGGGCACAGTGAGACCGGTCCATGGGCAGTGTCTTGCATACTAGCACTGTAGGCCCCAAGGAGCACTCAGAATGGGGCTCAGCTAAGCTGAAAACCCTGTTGCCATGGGGCACCAGACATCGCTGAGCTGAACTCACTCCCCTTGTCCCTGCCATGCAGAAGTGATTTCCCCAGCCCCGATCCCCCTGTGGAATGCCAGAGCCAGCTCCCACACACTCTTGAGAAACAACTGGTAAATTTTCTAGAATTCTGTGGGCTGGTTGTTAAACATGGCCACTAAGAATTAAACTACATAAGCTAACAATTGAATACATTATTTTAAACAGAGTTAATAAATACGCAAAACTTGGCACTTCCTAATTATTGACTGTACTATTATCTATGCCTGTTGTATCTGGATAGTGGAGACTCAGTACAATGGTGTGCTACCGCATGTCTCCACGTTTAGTGACATCACCTTGGTAGCTTAGAATCAGTCATAGTAAGGTCAGGCGAGGTGGCTCATGCCTGTAGTCCCAGCACTTTGGGAGGCCAAGGCGGGTGGATCACGTGAGGCCAGGAGTTCAAGACCAGGCTGGCCAACATGGTGAAAGCCCATCTCTACCAAAAATACAAAAATTAGCTGGGCGTGGTGATGGGCACCTGTAATCTCAGCTACTCAGTAGGCCGAGGCAGGAAAATTGCTTGAACACAGGAGATGGAGGTTGCAGTGAGCCAAGATTGTGCCATTGCGCTCCAGCCTGGGCATCGCAGCAAGACTCTGTCAAAAAAAAAAAAAAAAAAAGGTTATAGTAAGAGTGTTTACACCATAGAAATTGGCAAATGCGACAAATCAGAGCTTTTTCTGCAGAGAGCCAGTGGTTACACACCTGCCAGCCTACCACTCCTCTCCACCCTCTGTCGTGCTGGCTCTCTGCGGAAGCCCCCCAAACCTTCCAGGCCTGTCCTCTCCACTCTAGGAGTTCCAGCAGCACAACTGGCCTTGTCAGATTAGGGCTGTCACATGGGCTTCAGAAAGTCATGGAGACCTTACCAGGAACCCTGAGCATCTGCCCCGTTGCATTTCCTTACTGCTCTTTAGGGTTATCTGGGTGATTCTTCGTGCTGCCCAAAGCTGCCACACAGGGCCTCACACACTGGATGGGCTCCCAGGGAGTATAGCAGTATGAATGGAAGGAGATGCTGGCCTGATCTCAGGGGTGGGGAATTAAAGAGAGGCCTTGCCTCCACCAAACCAACAAGGTCCCAGCAGCCAGCCTCATGGTCCAGGTGAGGCATCTCTCCAAAGTGCCCAGTTCCTGAAGGTCCCTGCATAGCCAGGTACCCTCTAGGAATAACTTACATATGAGAACAAGACATGCAAGTAGATAGCTGGAGGCAGCAACAAGCCTTCTGTCTAAACAATACAAAACAACATTAAAAAGGCAGCCCCGTGGAATTGGAGTCCAGGGAACAAGCATAAGCAAATGCTGGCACTCCAGATGCTGCCGTTGCGGTAAGGAGTCCTTTGTAGGGGGAGGGTGGGTAGCCCTATCTATGGATGGCTGAGACTCATTTTGCCTGAGTCTTATATATTCTCAGGAATATCTTCACAGCCTTGGAGTTGATAAAGGAGTGCTTTCTTAAACAGGACATAAGAAAAATCACTAAACGAGGACACTAAAGGAAAAGATTGGGAAATTGGACTTTGTTAAAGTTAAAAATATCTCTTCATTAGAAGACACCACTGACAGAATAAAAGGCAACACAGACTGAGAAAAGCAATTTGTAATACACTAAACTGACATAGGACATGTATCCAGAATATATAAAGAACTACAAATTGGTAGGAAAAAATCAGACAACCCAATTAAAAACTGACAAACAATTTGAAAAGGCATTTCATGAAAAAAGATACCTAGATAGCCCAATTAGCCTATGGAATGGTATGCAGCCTTTACTGGTCATCAGGGAAGTTAAAATAAGGCACAATGGGCCAGGCATGGTGGCTCACACCTGTAATCCTAGCACTTTGGGAGGCTGATACGGGCAGATCACGAGGTCAGGAGATTGAGACTATCCTGGCTAACATGGTGAAACCCCGTCTCTACTTAAAACACAAAAACAAAATTAGTCGGGCGTGGTGGTGGGTACCTGTAGTCCTAGCTACTTGGGAGGCTGAGGCAGGAGAATGGCATGAAGCCCAGAGGTGGTGCTTGTAGTCAGCGGAGATTGCGCTGTTGCACTACAGCCTGGGCAAAAAAGCGAGACTCAAAAAAAAAAAAAAAGGCACAATGAACTATCACTATACACCCACAAGACTGCACAGACCTTTAAAAACAGAACGACAAGTATTAGGATGCAAAGGGAGCATAAGCTGGTACTACCACTCTGGAAAACAGTTTGGCAATATCTGCTAAAGCCAAATACACCTAAGGTCAGGAAGTTCCCAGCAGTGAGTGCATTCATCTACGGAAGACTGTGCACTAGAATGTGCATCACAGCTCTATTCATGACAGCCTCAAACCGGAGACAACACAGACATCCGTCAGTAGTAGATTGCAGCATATTCACACCACCGACAACTATACTGCAGTGAGAGAGAATGACCCACAGCTACACAACACATTAGAACATGAATGAACCCCACAAACAACAGTAAGCAAATGAAGCCAGGCACAAAAAAAGTACATCCCATTTAATTCCATCTTCATCAAGGTCAAAACTAACCCATGGGGTTAGACACCACGATGGTAGGTTCCTTTGGGGAGGAGGCAATGGGTAGGAAAAACATTTATCTAGAATCTGAAGTTTAAAAAATTAAAATAGTTTCTCCTGCTGTGCTGCCTTTTTTTTCTGTTTGCTTTTTCAAAGTAGGAGGTTCCAGGACAGGTAATGTGTCTGAGGAAGCCTCCACCTCCCTCACCCTGCCCACGCTTCTCCTCTGGGACCAGACAGGCAGGAGGAACTCCAGGGAAAGCCCAACGAGGAGCTGTCCTAGAACACTGATTTCATTTTGGCTTCAAGTCAGATTTTCACTAGCAACTCTGCTTTCCATCTCTTTTAAATTTTATTATTATCATTTAGCATTTTATTATCTCTTACAACGTACCAGGCACTGCTGAAAGCACGGCATTAGTATTAATGTTTTACCCATTCATTCATTCAGCCTGCTGGAGACTTGATAATGGCCTCTTTATTGAGAACTTACTCTGTGCCAGGTAGTAAGCTAAGTTCCCAATTAATCCTCACATGAGCCCTTCCTTGCCGGGCAGGAGAGAGGGGAAGACATCTGTTGGCATTACGGAGGAGTACACAGAGACTGAGAGAAGTCAAGTGCCTTGTCCAAGGTCACACAGCTAAGTCAGTAGCAGAGTTGGGATACAAACCCAGATCCCACATTACTGCAAAGCACCAAGCTCTGTCTTGTCCAGTGACTACCCTCAGTCAAATCACATTGTAAGACTGGCAGAAATATGAGATTTCTTAGTTCCCTACCCTGGCCTAATGAATCAAAATTTCTGGCCCCTAGGCTGGCCTGAGCAGTAGAGTCCCCCGTAACAGTTCAAAACCTGATTCGGTTCCCGGACCCAGTAGGCACGCAGGGCCAAGCTGTTGGGTGGATGGAGAGAACGGGACTGCCAGGAAGGTCCCTCACTTCTTTCTGTTCCCTGGCAAATGTTATGTCCTCTCCTCTGAGAAGCCCTCCCTAACCATCCCTGACCATCCCCCGGAACTGCTTACCCCTTTACTTTGCCTTAGGTGTCTTCCTCGCGTCTCTCAGTCTTATAAGTGGGCTAGGTTGAACCATATGACATTGTCCTTTCTATAAATAAAAAAAAAAATGGTTGAAAATGGGGCATTTCATGCAGTCCAATTCAAGTGTTTCCCTCTACCAGAATGTCAGCTCCAAGAGGGAGCTGGGATGTGGTTCACAGCCGTGTCCCCAGACAATGCCTGGCACACAGTAGGCGCTTGATAAATGACAGGTGAGTGGCGAGGGAAAGCGCCCACTCCTAGGAGTTCCGCAGCCTAAGGAAAGGCCCCGCCGAGCCGGAGTACTCCGGCGGACGCCGCCCTGTCCTCTGTAATCTCGGGTGCCTTCCCGGCAGCGGCGGCCAGGCGGGGTGGGGCTCGCCGTCATCCATTTACCAGCCTCGCCTCTCGGACGGGCGCGCCGTTAATGAGATTAGCAATTTAAAAACCGGCTAGCTGCTTCGGCGGCGGAGGCGCGGGGCCACCCCCAAGCCAAGCCGGGGGCGGGACGGTGCTCCTGGCGACCGCGCACCGAGACCGCCGTGCCGGACCCCCGAGCCGGAGCCAAGCGCGCCGAGGCCGGGGCCATGGAGAAAACGCGGCCGCTGTGGGCCAACCCGCTGCAGTTCGTGTTCGCCTGCATCTCGTACGCTGTGGGCCTGGGCAACGTGTGGCGCTTCCCCTACCTGTGCCAGATGTACGGCGGAGGTGAGTGCTCACCGCGCCCCGGCCCCAGCCCCGCTCTGTGCGCGTCTCCGCGGGCTCTTTCCGTGCCGAGGGGCGTTCGGTCCGTGCGCGCCGGGGTTGGACCCAAGTTACAGAACGGCACACTGAGGCTGGGAGAGCGAGCGTGATTTGTCCGAAGTCACAGACCCGGGAGTGTTTGTTCCCAGGACACCCCGTTCCGGAGCCGGAGCTCTCTCCCAAGCCGCCCTCCCAAGCCCTCGGGAACCCCTCGCCCCATCCCGGGGGCGGCCAAGCCCCCAACCCTCACCCTTGTTGGCCAGGCTGCGGCTCTGAGAGCGCAGGGGACGCTGTCTCCTCCTTCGAGAGAAGTGGCAATGGTCTGACTTGTCAGTGAGTAAACCTTACGTTTAGGTGTAAAAAGTGAGTAGGAAATTGTCTTATTCAACAGAAACTCGTTATACAGCTTTCAGATCCGAAACTTAAACCAACGGTTTGAAACTCAGGTTAGGAGGATCTTGAGCCATTTCTTTAAAGTTTTTATAAGCAGATTGGTTTGAGTTTGGAACGATAGAAAGCAGGAAATGCAAATCATTCCATGTTTTTTTTTAGGTTTTTGTTGTTGTTGTTGTTGTTTTATTTTGTTTTTCTTAAATGTTTCCTCGGAAGCATCATGCACGCTCCGGGGACAGCCAGCCAGCCAGCCATGCGCTCTTACCGCACTCCCCTAGCGCTGCGGAAAGCTGGGAACACCTCCTACAGATGCCAAGAACCTCGTGAAGCCCAAGTACCTTTTTGGAAGGCAGTATGGCAAGAGAGATTTAAGTCTCAGCATTTAAAACGCTTTTTTTTCTCGGTTGTCTCGTTTCTGGAATTGTATCTAGAAATCGTCAGAGTTCTGACAGAGGTAGAAGGATGGTCACCATCATTTAATAAAAGCAAAACATTGGCAACTTCCTAAGCCCTCAAATAAAGGGGATTGCTTCAGTAAATTCTAGAGCATCCATTCAATGTTGCTCTTCGCAGCCATTAAGGCGGCATTTTCAAAAAAAATTGTATTTTATCGCATCATATATTAAGTGGAGGGAGGAGAAGTCAGATTTAAAGCTATGTAAAATGGATTTGATATTTAAAAACAACTGCTTTAAAATATGCAGAGAAAAGAATGGGGAAAAGACATCAAATTGTTAACAAAATTTCTGGGTGATTTTTGTTTACCTTGTCGTGTGTGTGTGTGTGTGTGTGTGTGTGTGTGTATGCGTCTGTGTATTAGGACTTCTATAATCTGCATGTTTTTTTCACCATAAAAGATCATGAAAGATGTTAGACCAAAGTATTTACAAAAATGAACCCATTTGAGAAGACCAAGAGCTAAACACTGCTCCCTCCTCCCCTCACCCCAAATCAACAAAAGGTTAATTCATAGAGTTTTTTAAATAGTGCATTCTTAATTTCCGGATTCCTTTCTTAAATTTGAAGCGCATAAATACACCATAATGATGTGAAGGGCGTATGTTGCCATATGCTCTAACAGCGTTGCCATGTGCTCTGACAGCTTTATAACTGACTCTTAAAAAGAATGATTTGTCAGAATGAGATTTCCACATCATTCTGTGCTCAGTAGACCTACCCGTGATACCTTTATCCTGGGTACATGTTTCCCAGTCGTCAGTCCAGGTGAGCCTCACTGTCACATGACTACTTAATTCCTTGTTTATAATACCACCATCACCTGAAAATAGTCTGCAGAGGGATGCATGTGGGGCTGATAGTTCTGGAGTTGAATATGTATCAAGGGGTTGCTAGGGAAACCTCAAGACCCTCAGGTTCCAAGAAAAAGAAACAAGAAGAAATCCTGTGCCTTGTGCAGAGGATGCTTCGGCTGGATGGGTGGCTAGATAAATTAATGGAAGCCGGGCGGAGGATGGATTGTTGGCTGGGTGTATGCATGGATTAGTGGGTGCACAGACAAAAAGAGGGTGTGAGTCTGGTGGATGGCACTTTCTCAGCCACGTGTCTACAGAATAAAGACCAAACAGTCCACCTGGCACAGTAGGCACTTGACCACCTAACTTGACCATTTGTCCAATATTTCCACCTCATTTCCTGCCACACAGCTTCAAACCTCCCCTGCCTTCCGAACACTTCCATGAGCACCTCCTTCTGTGCCTCAACACTTTACACAAGATATTTCCTTCACCTGCTGTTGTTGGTGGGAGAACTCCCACCATTCCCTCCAGGCCGGGCCAAATGTTGCCTTCTCTCTGTTGCGCTCTCTGACTCTCCTCACTACCTCACAGGCCAAATAAGCACTTGGTCAGAAGGACTGCAACATTGTTCTCCAGTTTCTCTGTCTCCCCCCAGCCCAACCTCTGTGATGTGATGGAGTCACAGGAGCCATCCAATAAATATTTGTTGAGTGAATGAGCAAAGTCTTAGGAAAAGCCACAGAATAAATGATGCTAGAGGATGCTAGGGGCTCTCCCAAGCCTTTCACTGCACAGGAAAGTCACCTTTAAGAAGTGATTTGTGTAGCCCCAAACCCAGGCACTTTACAGCCCTTACCGGAAGGTAAAAATCAGCCACATTATGAAAGGCTGCAGAGGGGTGTATAACTTCCTTGTAAGTGGAGCTGCAAATACCCCCAGCAAACAAAGAATTTGTTTATAAACCACAGAGCCAGGCTGTGCCAAAATACTTCCCAGAATAAGACGGATTAGGGATCTGTGCCCCTCTCCATGGGACTCTGCCCGTGACTGGAGAGGCTTGTTTGCTTCCTGCTCCCCAGGCCAGGCCCAGCATGAGGAATGTTAATTCTGAAGATTACATTCCAGGTACTGATCATCTCTGTACAGCCCTGGCTGCCTGCTCCAGAAAAAAATAAATAAATAAAAGGCAACCCAAAGAACTTCACAAAATCTCTTTTGGAAAAAGTCAGCAGGTCTTGGGCAACCACGTCAAAATCTAAGGCAGTGGTTGTTCGGGAAGAAATCGGGGATGCAAGTGTGTGTGTGATAAGGTGTAAAAAGCAAATACTACACTATTTATATTATATAAAGATGTGCATGAAAGAAACATGGAGAGATGAGAACAGTTGTGTGGCTGGTGGAAATACAGATTTTTTTTCTCTTAAATTTTCTCTCTGCATTATTGAGGGGGAAATCAGAGGACACCTGACAATGCAGTAGGACAATGACACTCTCAGACTGGAATGCTCCACATCCCTGCAAAGCTCCTGCTCTCTGGGACAGGAAACCAGCTCTTTCAGCCGCCTGTTACGGCCTACCCCAAATTGCTTAGAGCATTGCATGTCAAACTGTAGCCTACCTGAGGATCTTCATAAACTGCAGGTTGCTAGACCCCACTCCCAGGGATTCTGATCCAGATGCCTGTAGGGGAGCACAGGGTTCTTCATTTCCAGAAAGCTCCCTAGTAAGGCTAAGGCTTGGTCCATGGACCACACTTCAGGGAAGGGTCAGGGTTGCTTATGTGGCCCCTGGCCCAGCAGTGGGGTGCCAGTGAATGTTTAACAACTGGCTCTTGGTGGAACAGCAGGACCCAATTCCAAGAATTTGCAGGTTACCTTGATGTAAATCCTCCCACCATGGCCAGTTGCAGACTGCCAACGTATTGTCCCCGAGTGTGGGGTTGGGGAGAGGTGGGGCTAATTGGCTCTTGTAAGCCAGTCTGGATCCAGGTGCTGTGGTGGCCACAGCTCTTCAGGCCAGCACCCAGCCTGGGACTGATTCACACCGGGTCAGTCCATGCATGGATCAGGGAACAGTGCTGCAGCTGTTTACTTGTAAAGTGGGTGGGGACCCCCAGTAGTTGGGAAATACCATGATCAGGGGCCCCTGCTGCTCCCCCAAGGTTTCCAGACTCAATCGTGGTAACATCTGCCCTGTTGGGCCCCTAGCATGTGCCAGGCATAATGTGAAGCATTTTCTGAAGGAATTCGGTTTGGTCTTCACAACATGGCCACAGTTAGTCCTGCCACCCCCCTTTACAGATAGGAAACAAGTCAGAGAGAACAGGACTTCTGGAGAAGTAGCTGGGGCTCAAGCCACTTCTGTGATAAGGCAAGACTGTCTCCCCAGCACCCTGCACTCATCTGCCACAGGCAGGACAGGACTCCTCAGGTGTCCAGGCCTTTCTAGGACCCCCAAATAAGAATTGCTGTGGCTCAGGGTACTTCTTCCTGTGGTTCTCCTGTGACACTCACCCATGCCTCACCTTGACATTGGAGGAGGGTCTGGCCAGGAGCCTGTGCGATGTCCACCTGCAAGTATCCCTTGTCCCTTCTGGTCCAACCTCCTCTCCGCCTCCGACCTTCCCTGAATATACCCCAAAATGTTTGGCATCTTACCAGTGTGCTCTTCATCCTCTCCAGGAAACCCCCTCCCTAAATTTAAGACGACTTCTTCAACAAAGCCCTCCTTTGATCCCTGGGCTAAATCCATATGATATGAGTTGGGTCCCCACCCAAATCTCATGCTAAATTGTAATCCCCAGTGTTGGAGGTGGGGTCTGGTGGAAGGTGATTGGATCACCTCCCACGCGGTGAATTTCCCCTTTGGGGATATTCTCGTGATAGTGAGTTATCAGTGAGATCTGGTTATTTAAAAGTATGTAGCAGCTTCCTACTCTCTCACTTCCTCCTGTTCCAGCCATATAAGATGTGCCTGCTTCCCCTTCACCTTCTTCCATAAATGTAAGTTTCCTGGGGCCTCCCCAGCCATGCTTCCTGTACAGCCTGTGAAACTGTGAGCCAGTTAAACTTCTGTCCTTTATAAATTACCCAGTTTGAGGTATTTCTTTACAGCAGTGTGAGAACAGACTGATACACCATCCTTCCTGTGCCTGATGCATTGTGGGGTCTGACATGTCTCACTCCCACTTGATGGGGAGGAAGAGTGACCAGTCAGGAACACAGAGTCTGCCTACTGGTGGAGAAGCCTCTATTTGTCTGCGTGTTGGAATCAGCCCATAGCTTTAAAAAATACTGATGCCTCTGTCCCACCCCCAGAAATCCTGATTCGATTGGTCTCAGGTGTGACCTGAACAGGAGTTTTATGCTCCCTAGGGAGCTCTACTGTGCAACCTAGGTTGAGAATCACTATCTTACAAACAATACCTAATATAAACTTTCTAGACACTTCATTTAAGTCATTCAATAGATATTCACTGAGTATCTTCTGTAAGTCAGGGACTATGCTGTCGGGATTATGGTGATTATGGGGTGCAAGGTTTGGGGGTGGAGCAAGTAGGAAGAGCTTTAACAAAGCACCGTTCAGAGGCTTCGCTGAAATAACTCAAGAAGGACTGACTGCTCAAGAGGATCTAGAAAGCCTTCTGGCAATGGCAACATTTAG